GAAACCAGTCGAACCAGAGAAGGAAGAACCCAAGAAACCTGCATACGAGGGTCTTCCTATTGATGAGTCTTCCAGCACCTGGATGGATGTTCTGGACGACGAAGAAGAAAAAGCTGAAAAAGCAGTGTCACATACAACCACGACAGCTACTACTACGACCACGATTGTTACTGAAACTGTGGAAGTAAAGGCTCCTGAAACCAAACCAGTCGAAACAGCTCCGCGAGTAGTTGAAGATACACCGATCGAAAAGGTTGAGGAAGGTACTGAGGTTAAGGCTGTGGAAGAAAAACCCGTCGAACCTGTGAAGGAAGAATCAAAGAAACCTGCTTATGCCGGTCTTCCAATCGGCGAATCTTCCACAACCTGGATGGATGTTCTGGACGAACCAATGGTTTTATCTGACGAGGAAGAAACATCTCTAGAAACAGTATCTCACACCACCACGACAGCTACTACTACCATTGTTACTGAAACTGTGGAAGTAAAGGCTCCTGAAACCAAACCATTCGAAACAGCTCCGCAAGTAGTTGAAGATACACCGATCGAAAAGGTTGAGGAAGTTACTGAGGTTAAGACTGTGGAAGAAAAACCCGTCGTACGTGTGAATGAAGCACCCAAGAAACCTGCGTATGCCGGTCTTCCTATCGATGAATCTTCCACAACCTGGATGGATGTTCTGGACGAACCAATGGTTTTATCTGACGAGGAAGAAGCATCTCTAGAAACAGTATCTCAGACCACCACGACAGCTACTACTACCATTGTTACTGAAACTGTAGAAGTAAAGGCTCCTGAAACCAAACCAGTCGAAACAGCTCCGCAAGTAGTTGAAGATACACCGATCGAAAAGGTTGGTGATGTTACTGAGGTTAAGGCTGTGGAAGAAAAACCCGTCGAACCCGTGAACGAAGCACCCAAGAAACCTGCTTATGCCGGTCTTCCTATCGATGAGTCTTCAAGCACTTGGATGGATGTTCTGGACGAACCTATGTTCCTATCTGACGAAGAAGAAAAGTCTGAAGGAACAGAAACTACGTCCACCATTGTTACTGAAGCAGTGGAAGTAGAGGCTGTTGAAACCAACTCAATCGAGACAGCTGCGCAAGTAGTCGAAGAGAAACCGATCGTTAAGATTGAAGAAGTTACTGAGGTTAAGGCTGTGGAAGAAAAACTCGTTGAACCAGTTAAGGAAGAACCCAAGAAACCTGCTTATGCCGGTCTTCCAATCGACGAATCTTCCACAACCTGGATGGATGTTCTGGACGAACCAATGGTTTTATCTGACGAGGAAGAAGCATCTCTAGAAACAGTATCTCAGACCACCACCACAGCTACTACTACCATTGTTACTGAAACTGTAGAAGTAAAGGCTCCTGAAACCAAACCAGTCGAAACAGCTCCGCAAGTAGTTGAAGATACACCGATCGAAAAGGTTGAGGAAGTTACTGAGGTTAAGGCTGTGGAAGAAAAACCCGTCGTACCAGTGAACGAAGCACCCAAGAAATCTGCTTATGCCGGTCTTCCTATCGATGAGTCTTCAAGCACTTGGATGGATGTTCTGGACGAACCTATGTTCCTATCTGACGAAGAAGAAAAGTCTGAAGGAACAGAAACTACGTCCACCATTGTTACTGAAACTGTGGAAGTAAAGGCTCCTGAAACCAAACCAGTCGAAACAGCTCCGCAAGTAGTTGAAGGTACACCGATCGAAAAGATTGAGGAAGCTACTGAGGTTAAGGCTGTGGAAGAAAAACCCGTCGAACCAGTGGAAGAAGCACCCAAGAAACCTGCTTATGCCGGTCTTCCTATCGATGAGTCTTCAAGCACTTGGATGAATGTTCTGGACGAACCTATGTTCCTATCTGACGAAGAAGAAAAATCTGAAGAAACAGAAACTACGTCCACCATTGTTACTGAAGCAGTGGAAGTAGAGGCTCTTGAAACCAACTCAATCGAGACAGCTGCGCAAGTAGTCGAAGAGAAACCGATTGCTAAGGTTGAAGAAGTTACTGAGGTTAAGGCTGTGGAAGGGAAACCTGTTGAACCCATTAAGGAAGAACCCAGGAAACCTGCATATGCCGGTCTTCCTATTGAAGAGTCTTCCAGCACCTGGATGGATGTCCTGGACGAACCTATGTACCTTTCTGACGAAGAAGAAACTTCTCAAGAAAGAGTGTCTGAGACCACTACGACAGTTACTACTACGACCACCTTTGTTACTGGAGCAGTGGAAGGAAAGGCTCCCGAAACCAAACCAATCGAAACAGCTCCGCTAGTACTTGAAGAAAAACCAATCGTAAAGGTTGAAGAAGTTATTGAGATTAAGGCCCTGGAAGAGAAACCCGTTGAACCAGTGAAGGAGGAAGCCAAGAAACCTGCCTATGCCGGTCTTCCTATTGATGAGTCTTCCAGCACCTGGATGGATATACCGGAGGAGCCTTTAGTCTTATCTGACGAAGAAGATAAACCAGAAGAACGAGTGTCTCAGATCACCTCAACAACTACCACAACCACTGTTGTTACTAGAGCAGTGGAAGTAAAGGTTCCCGAAACAAAATCCGTCGAAGAAGTTACTCAAGTTGTTGAAGAGAAATCCATCAAAACGGTCGAAGAGGTGCAGACGCCTGAGACTCTGGTGAAGACTGTTGATGACAAACTCGTCGAACCAACACCCACTTCTTCAGCTGTGGTAGTTACTGATAAAGTTTTAGATAAACCATCCGAAAAGTTAGAAGAATTGAAGCACGAAGCTACCACTGTGGAGGTCGAAATACCCGAAGTTAAACCTCCTGTGTCAATCTCAAGTTGGGCTGATATTGTATCCGATACCATTGAGCAAGAAAAGCCTTTGAAAGCAGATAAATTGAAAAAGAAAAAGACCAAAAAAGAAAAGGTTGAGGCGCTTCAGGAAGATGAGCTGCCTAAACGAAGCGATACTCATAAAAATGTTACTTTCATTGATGAGGAAAGAAAAGATTCGACTTTGTCGTCAGTCCATGCTGGGAGGAAACCGGTTCCAAAGGAATTGGATGTGCCTAAACCGACTGTGTTGCCAGGCTTTTCATGGTCAGATGTTGTAAGGCAAAACAACCAAGAATTACCTAAACAGACGACCGTTTTCGAAAAATCAGAAGCGCTCGAGCCTAAAAAGTCGGTGACATTTGTTGAAGAGCACACAGAAATCCCACAGACTGTTTCAGAAGTCACAGAAAGCTTTACTACATCTGGTGAGAGCAAAACACCCAAGGAGAAGTCCAAGAAGCAAAAGCCGAAAAAGGAAAAACCAGAGAAAGTTGAAAAAGTAGCTGCTGTTGAAGAAACGAAGTTGGAGAAGCCAACGGTTGTTGAGCATGCGGCAACACCTGCAGTCACGCCATTAATGGCATGGTCTACTATCGTTAGTCAAAATGTTGTAGAAGTTCCAATAACAAGTATACACGAACTAACTGAAATAGTTGAAAGCAGAAAAGAAACGACGAAGACTCTTGACCAAGATGTTAAACCAATTCCAGAAGTAAAATCGCTAGATAATGCGGCTAGTAAGGACACAATACATACATTCATCGGACATGAAAAGCAGCATACCGAAAAGTCTCACGGAAAACCAAGAAAAGAAAAGACTAAGCAACAAACTGCCGATCTGGATGAAAAACCAGCTGAACCAGTTGTAGCAACAATGAAAGCCGATGAGACTTCGGCTGAAGTATCCCTTTCCTGGTCAGCCATAGTTAGCCAGGAACAAGAAGAGGAAGATGTGCGTCCAGTAATAACTGAGACTGTAGGAGACACAATTAATGATGCCGCGATTGCGATAGAAGAGAAAGAACATTCTCCAGAAAGCGTCGCATCGATTGAAACCGAAGTGACTATTCCTAAAGAGGAGGAAGTCAATGAACTACCTGAAACGGCGCGGCCTAAAGAACGAAAAGAAAAGCCAAAGAAGCAAAAGCAGAAGAAAGAAAAGTCCAATGTCGTAGAAGAGGAGCCACAAGCAACGCAACCTACTAAGGAACATGTTTCCGAACCAAGTCCAGAACCCAAGACTATTATTCACGAAGAGATAGTAGCTCCTGCCGCACCACCTTCAGTTTGGTCTAGGTCCGAAACATACGCTGAAGTGGTTAGAAAATCTGGTTTGGTCGATAATACTAATATACGCTATCAAGAGCTTGAAAGTCAGCCAACTACTTCGCGAATCTTTGCGCCTGAAGCAGAGGCATCAATGCCCTATGAATCGGAAGTTTCGGCATCTACCGAAGAACTTGTGGAGTTCGAGCAAATGCAATCGGAACCCATTGTTGAGACACACCCAGTACAGCTAGCGCCAACAATGGAAGCTTCTAGCGCAGAAGCCGTGAACGAACCTGAACCTGAAGTACCTAAGGCGCCAACTGCAGCTGAAACAGAGTTAGAAGATGCGCAATGTGTCACTGAAACAGTTGAAATGTCATGGAAAGATATGATTGAAAGTGAAGAGATTGAGCCAACGCCAGAACCAGAACCGAAGCCGGAAACTTCATCATGGGCATCGGAAATGACATGGAAGGAAATAATGAAGGACGAAAACAAACATTCTACTGAACCAGGCACTTCATCCTGGGCGTCTATCGTTAGAAGTTTCGCGCCGCAGGAGCCACAACAAAAGATATTCGTAACACATGAAACCAGCGATGTTGTGAGTACCAGTGCGCCAGCGAGACCATCACGCACTATAGAACGTCCAGCCATTAAAGTTACCGAAGCTCCCACAATTACCGAGGAAGCGCCACCAACAACAGACAGCGAAGGCTTCCTTGAGTGTGTATCTAAGAAAGAAAAACGACGCAGACGATCACGTTCGCGCTCACAGCAGTCAGTTCAAGAAGATATTCCTGCTCACCATCAAAAACCTGAGAAAACCAAGAAGAACAAGCATGGCAAACAGGCAAATCGCGATCGCAGTAAAGATGTGCCAAAAGAAAGAGCCGAAGTTGTAAAAAAAGAAGAACCACCGCAACTAGCTGAAGAGTTAGAAAACATCGTTGTAGAGCAAACCGTAGTAGTAGAGCCACAAAGAGCAACTACACCACTAACGACCGGTTTATCATGGGCGGCTATTGCAGCGCAAAATGTGCCTGAGCCCGTCCAGCACATACGACCACTTTACGAAGAAAGTACAGCCAAGCCAACAGAAGTTGTGCCAGAAAGTGTTGTTGACGAAAGCGTAAAGGTACGCACTACTATAGCGTTGGAACCCGAAAAGAAGGAGAAAACCAAAAAACCCAAGAAGAAAAATAAGAAAAAACATGCGGATGAAGCTGAACTGGAAGAATTGCATGAAGTACCAACTGAAAGCTCAGAGCTTGTAACTGAGACTACTCCTACTGCAACTACGACCTCCGACGCCTTTATCAGTCAGACCTCATATTGGTCTGCCAAGTTGAAACCACAATTAAAGGTTTCAGTAACAGAAAATGAGACAAAGCCCGTAGAAGAGTTACCGGAGACAGACGACACTTCGCAAATACTAGAGCCTGCAGAGGAAGTTACTGTGCAATCGCCGACAGATCAACCCACAACATGGTCTGCACTCATACAAACTGAGACAACAGTATTTCCAGCGCCGATTGTGAATGTGCGCCAGTCCGAAGATAAGGTGCCTTGGACAACACTAGTAGTGAGTCAGACTGCAGACTTCCAGACGCCCAAGCGACAAGAAGTTGTCGACGCCACTACCGATTTGCTGGGTAATGAACGCGTGTCTACAGCGAAACATCCACCAGTGCAAGTGACAGGAAGCTCATACGCAGATGTTGTGAAGACTGAAGAGCTACCAGCTCAGGTGACCACAACTGTTTTTGAAAAAGTTTCAGAGCCTTCAACGGTTGTACAGAGTGTGGTTGAAACAACAACAACCACTATTAAGACTACTAGTACGGAAAATGTACCGCAGGTGGAGGTTTCGAATGAATTTGTCGTTGAAGAAGTGGAAGAGCCGACAGCTGTTGAAGCGCAAGGACCGAAAGAGAAGCCAACCAAAGAAATCGATGTGATTGAAACAGTCACAGTTGATATCACAGAAGGTGAAAAGGTGGGTGTGCTTGAAGCAGGTACGGAGCTTGTGAAACCTGAAGCTCAACCTGAATTAGTCAAAGAAACTTCTCAATCTCAGCCAGATTCAACTGAAGTTTTCGTCGCGGCTCCAGCTGCTCCAACAGCACTCGATCTCACAAAAGATTTCTTGGCTTCTGAAAAGTCATTACAAGAAAAATCAACGGTGTTGGTAAATGAGTCTGAGCTAAAGGACGTAGTGGTAGAAGCTGAGCCAGTTAAAGAACCTCTGCCTACTAAGGAACACGAACTTACCGCAGAACCTCAGCAAGTTGTAGAGAAAACAATCAACACCAACGTGGTGGCCGAAACAACTGTCGTCAAAAATACAGAAATTGTTCAAAGTTATACCGGAGAGCTTAAAGATACTAAAGTAGTTGAAGCTCCACAAACTGGTGCGGAACTCGATGAGGCCGAAGAGCATAAACCACAGCCTCAACCTATAACTGAACCGTTTTCAAAGGTTGTCGAAGTGGTGGAAACTGTCACCTTCGAACCTACAGTACCCGATGCAGTGATAGCAGAACTGGAAACCGTTGAGGTGCCTGGTGAAGAAAAATCACCTCCCGCGCCATCCGCACCTTCGACGCTTGATTTCACGAAAGATTTCCTTGCTACAGAAAAATCTCAACAAGAAGCAAAGATTTCTATAGTGGTGGCGACACCTGAAAAAGTGGTCGAAGAGCCTGAAATTGTCGAAGTACCAGAGGCGGTTAAAGAACCAGAAGTTGTCGAAGCTTCTGAGCCTGCTAAGGATCTCGATGTAGTCAAAAAGCTTGAGCCACAGCCTCAGCCTACAACTGAAGGCTTTTCAAAGGTTGTCGAAGTGGTGGAAACTATTACCGTCGAACCCACAATACCCGATGCAGAGATAGGTGAACTGGAACCCGCTGAGGTGCTTGGCGAAGAAACATTACTTCCCGCGTCATCCGCACCTTCAGCGCTTGATCTCACGAAAGACTTCCTTGCTACAGAAAAATCGCAACAAGAAGTAACGATTTCTATAGTGGTGGCGACACCTGACAAAGTTTTCGAAGCGCCTGAAATTGTCGAAGTACCAGAGGCGGTTAAAGAACCTGAAGTTGTCGAAGCTTCTGAGCCTGCTGAGGAACCCCATGTGGTCGAGCAGCTTCAAGAGCCTCAGCCTGCCCTTGAAGTGTCTTCAAAGGTAGTCGAAGTTGTAGAAACGGTTACTGTCGAACCTACAACATCCGATGAGGTGGCACCTAAGCAGGAAATCGTTGAGGAATTACTTCCTGCACTTTCAGCGCTTGATCTCACGAAAGACTTTCTTGCTACAGAAAAATCTCAACAAGAAGCAACGATTTCTAGAGTGGTGACAAAACCCAAAAAGGCGGTCGAAGAGCCTGAAATTGTCGAAGTACCAGAGGCGATTAAAGAACCAGAAGTAATCGAAGCTCCACAACCTATCAAAGAGCTCGATGTGGTCGAAAATCTTCAACCACAGCCTCTCTCTGCAATCGAAGAATTTTCAAAGGTCATCGAAGTGGTAGAAACAGTTGCCGTACCTTCCGCAATTGATCTCACGAAAGATTTCCTGGCTACCGAAAAATCTCGACAAGAAGCAACGATACCGATAGTGGTGACGAAAGCCGAAAAGGTGGTCGAAGAGCCCGAAATCGTCGAAGTACGAGAAGCGGTTAATGAGCCTGAAGCATTTAAAGAGCTTGAAGTGCTTGATAAACATGAAGAAATTAAACAGCCAGAACTTGTTAAAGAGCTGGTTCAAACGTCGGAACCTGTAACAGAGCCCGAAACCGTTAAAGATTCAGAGCCTATAAAACAACCAGAACCTGTTAAAGACCTCGCAGTTAGTGAGACATCTGAGGCTATCAAGGAGCCTCAGTCCGTGGTGGAAGAAACAACAACCAAGGTGGTCGAAGTGGTAGAAACAAATGTCATCGAAACTACTGAAACAGATCAGGTATCTATACAAAAAGAATTATTACCCGCGCATATAAGTATATCGTCAGCAGTGAAAACTCACGACTTTCTCGAAGGTGAGCGCACAGCTGTGGCAAATGAGATTAAGTTATCAATATCCGATGAGCAAACACCGAAAGTTGTTGAAGAAGTAGAATTAGATGTAGAACAGGTTGTAGATGAATATGTGGTTATTGAACCAAGTGAACTCTCTGTAATAGACAGTGAAATTTTGCAACAGAATTTGCATTTAGATACCACAACGTTAGTGCGTACAAATTATGAAGAATTTGAGACAAAATTGCAGTTAATTTTAGAAGAAGAAAAACGCTTAGTAGCAAAGCAAACACAGGAAGAAACTGTAGAAGAAACACGGGTAGTAGTAAACAAACCGCAGGAAGAAACTGTAGTGTCTCCGGTTACACTCGACTCTGTAGAAGAGCCAGCTAAGACCGAAACAAACGAAGTTGAATTAGCAGCAACTGGTACATTGACTGATACGCTTTTGTTTAACCTAAGTCGAGATAACTTTATAAGACAAGTTAACAGCTATACTCAAGTAACACAAAGCGAACGTTGGTGGACATATTTCCTAGAGTCCATAACTCAAACCGAAAGTGTAAAAAAGACTGAAACTATTGCGGAAGCGCCAGAAGTTGTGGCGCACGCCTTAGAACCCCAAGCTGAACATAGCATACAAAAGACTGAAGAACCAAGTTTAGCAGAACAAATCATTCCCACTGAGCAGACGCAAACGATTACTTCACCACTTGATACACTCTGTAGAAATTTGTACATGGATGTATGGCACGCGGATACAACTAGCGAGTTGGTTGCTGAAAGTGCCGTGCCGCAGGTTGAAAGTGTGATCTCTGTAACCGAAGAAGAAGAAGTTGTAGTTAAAACTGACGTTAGTGAAGAACAAATTGAAAAGGTGACACAAGTGCAAACAGTTGCCGAACAAGAGAAACAAGAAAGAAAACCACAAGTAGTAAAAGATGATGAAGAAGAAGAAGAGGAGGACGATGAGGAAGTAGAAGAAGAGACTGACTCCAAAACTAAACGTGACTATGACGAACACAACAAACGTGACCGTGACGATCGCGACCCTGGTAGTGGTAGTAGCGGTAACGTTACACCGACACCCGAACCCGATAGCAGTGCGTACGCAACAAATCAAAGCTGTTCCTCCGAATATATGTCAACTGATCTGCCAGGCGGCGTAGGTCATTGGCGCGATCAGAGCACTTATCTTGCTTTGGATGCGGTAACGGTGGGCGATGTGCCCGATCTTTCGAATAAGCCTTTAGGCGAAAAGCAAATCGAATCCGTAACCGAAACCCAAGACGAAACAGAATTAGTTGTGCACTCACAAGCGCCGCTTGAGTTACTAACAACTGAAACTAAAACGCAAATAGAACTAACAACTATTGCTGACACCACAGCAGTGGTAGCAACTGCAACGCCGCAAGTACCCGAAAATGTATCAGCTCCCATAATAACTCATCCATCCCCGCCACCATCACCAACCCCAAGTCCTGAACCACTCCCAACCACAATCCCAATCTTAACACCCATCGTTGATTCCACCCAAATCGAAAATGTACCCCCCACTACTACTGTTGTTGCAACCGACACTACTACAACAACAACTAAGCTAACACAATTGGCGAGTGCCATTATTAATACCGTTAATGTGGCAACAAATGCCACGGCTACGACAATAACGGCAACTAAAGAGGCAGCAACAGCTGTGCTCGCGCCGCTTGTAACAACAATCATCGATAAGGCAACAACACCAACAGCAACAGCAACAGCAGAAACAACAACAACAATAACAGAAGAAACTATAACACCAGTAGCAACAGCAACAGCAACAGCAACAGCGGCAACGACAACGACAACTAGTGAAACGCAATTAGAAGAATTGAAAGTGCCGCTAACCAAATCGGTGGTGGCCACTGAAGAAGCGTCCAAAGAAACGTTGACGCACGCGCCAACAGCAACCACAACAACAGCCACTGAGACTGTAGTTGCCACAGAGGCGCTTGTTGCACCGGCGGTGGTGCCAGTGGTGGTGACACCGACAGCTGCACCTTTGGCACCGCTAACCACAACGCAAACAACAACAACCACCACAACGGTAACAGATGAATTGTATCGGCCGGAATTTGTTGTTAAACCTGAGCCGAGCGTTATTAAGCGCACGACAACAACAACGACGATAACAACAACGACAAATGGCACAACAACAAGCGATGCAATTGGTGGTCTACTGCAACAACAACAACAACAGCAGCAGGTGATGATCACGTTGAGTCTACGTACATTTATTTTAATTATGTTTGCAGCTTTTCTGTGTGGTTTTGGTATATGTTTATGGCTTTTAAATGGCTATGATTGCCTGTGAGATATTAAATTAACTAAACTAAAAAAAAAAAAAAAACAAAAAACAAAACACAACAACAAAAATAACTAAGAATTAAAATGCTTACTGTTAACAATTTCCTCCTTTCTCTGCTCTTTTGAGTTGTCATCTACTTATCTGCATACATAATTACAACGTATTTACATACATACATACATACCTTGACGCATAAACACCTACTCATTTGCGACATGAAGCACGATTATTGTATTTATTTAAAAGAAAAGCATTTTTGCTCATATCAACAAAAAATCGAAGGAGTAACCAAAAAAGGCATATTTTTTTGAATGAACAACAAAAACACTCGCAAAACTAATAAAGCAGAAAGAATAAGTACACAGAAGACTGGTCAAATATTGCTAACAAGAAAAAACAAAAAAAAAAAACTTGGATGGAAAAATTGCCTGTTGTAGGTTATAGTTTTTTTAAATGTTTCCTACTAAAAAATATGTGTACATGCGTACATACATACTTACATACAGTAATAAAAGTATGTTGACGAAAGCATTTAATATTTTATGCATCTGTATTGACTTAAATATTGATCGTTTGCATTGCTGTGGCATGACAGAAGAATGTTAAATATTATAATTAATAAAAAAAATTTTATATTTTATTTTTTAGCAAAAAATGTAATTCCTTTATATAGCTGTTCCTTAATACGAACATATTTATTATGCTAAGGTCAATTTACATAAAACACTTTAATTTTTTTTCAATATTGTGCCTTAAATTTATGTGAATTTAAATATTCATCTACTTATAACTAAGTGCAATTGTTTATTTGAATATTTTATTTTAATTTTTATTTTTTTTTGTTTGGAAACATTTTTTATTTCAAAGTTTTGTAAAATTTTTTATTTGCATAACTGTATATATCTATCTCTACACTTTCTCTAAAATTTTTAATTTGTATTTATTTTATTTCTTAATTTTTTATTTAAACATTTTTATTTGCACAATTGTAAATATCTATTTCTCTACTATCTCCGGAATTTTTAATTTGTATTCATTTTATTTTTAGTTCATATTTTTATTTAAATTTCTTTCAAAATCTTATTTGTTTTAACTCAAGTTTTAAACTTTTGTGTACTTGCCACATACGTTAAGTATACGTTTTAATATGTTTTATACGCTAAGCTTATACATATTAGCATATTATTGTGTATCACTATTCACTACATCATATGCGCATACTTAATATGTTTAAAACATACTTACACATATTTTGTTTTAAGCATTATGTTTTATTTCATGTAAAAGTAGTTTTTCTTAGAAAAAAATAAAACAAAACTAACATAAATCTACGCATGCTTTCTTTTGTTGTTTCCTTTATTTTTTTTTATAATTAAACAGTTTTTTATTAATATTTTTTAACACATATTTTCAAAACACCATTCATTTGACACAAGCGTAACATTTTGAAAAGTAAAATTGGTTTACTAGCGTATAAATATTTTGCAAGTGGCGTGGTTAGTCATTTCATTAGCAATAAACGGCACTTAAGCAATTATATTTTTGAAGTCAGAAATTTAGAAAACATTTTTTTTAAGTATCTTAAGACAAAAAGTTATAAATTTGTTTATCACAAAAGATTTTGTCATGTTATTTTTTATTAAAATTTTTAGGTCCAAAATTTATAAGTTTTTTTTAAATTCGAAAATTTATAAAAAAAAATTTTAACAAAATTTTTTATCAAGATTTTTAAGTGAATTTATGCTTTTTTTAACAAAAAAGTTTTTACCCACAATTTTTCATCAAGATTTTTAAGTCAGAATTTTTAAAAGGGTTTTTTATCAAAAAAAGTTTTGATATCCTTTTACACAAGTGTTTTTGTAATTTTTTTGCTAATTTTTGTAAGTAGGTAGCAGGTCATATACATAAAAAAGTGCATTTTAATCAGGAATCCTAAGTTAGTCGCTATAATTTTTGGATCATAGTAATTTAGTATTTGAAAATATTTATACACTCGATCATATTTGAACAATATTTTTAGAACAGACCTAATCAAAATTTTTTATGATTTTATCTAGCGAAACAAGCCTCAATAATCCAAAAATCAATTTTAGAAATATCATTCCGCTCTGGTCACGTACAAGACCATTCGTTATCGAACGAAACCCGATTAAAAATTAAATTTTTTAGTTTACGGTACTCTTTAACGAGTTCGGGTGGTCATTAAAATTGTATTAGTGACAGAAAAAGCTGCCATTTTATTTCATACGATTCGAATAGAGTAATAATTCAATTACGATTACCATATTTCGAAAGCCGATCGAAGAAAAAAATCCGAAAAATACTGCACAAATCTACTCGAACAAATAATAAACGTTAAAAAAATATTTTGGTAATGAATTGAGAATTGAATTGATTAAAATTTTCTATTCGAGGAAATACAAATAACGATGTTATATGTATGTATGCTATCATTGATATAAAAAATAAAAATATCGACTATTTTCTACCGTTATATAAATTCATTCAAAATTTCACACTATTAATAAGTTTCTCAAGCTTAATAAATATTTGCTTAGTTTTTATATTTTATGCACTGAAAGTATCTTACAAACACTGAATTGCAATTTTTTAAATGACCTTAAATATTTCTCTTTTATAATAAAGTTATACGAATTCTTAGTAGGCTTCGAAGACCATTAAAGTAAGGACTCCAAAAAGACTTCCGTCGCTTGTTTATAAGTAAACTATATATTTTTACAGTGTAACGTCTCAGCTTAATATCCAAAGACTTGAAATCCGTCAATCCTTTCGTTGTTTAGCTTTAATCAGCAAAATCTTCTCGCATTAAACAAATGAATTAAGCAAAAAAGAATTAGATTGTATGCAGCTGCCTATTATGAAGAGTATCAGAGCTATGGTGAATTTTCAAGGCTTAAAGCGACAGCCCCTCAGTTCGTTCAACCTGATTGACGCTATAACCGTTCGAGTTTAACACAGCACGCCAGCTGTTACTTTGTTTATTTTTTTGTTAGCTCTAGAACACACCAAAGTCTCCGTCTCTGCATTCTCTGGTTTTTGCCTCAATAGAGAGGGCGTTACTTGTCAACTGCCTACTTATACTTAGGTAACACTTGTTGGCAAGGTTTATTCTACGTTAAACCAAGGCTGTTATAATTTTTGGTTCTAATAGCATTAACTTAATACTGTTACCCAAATAAACCAAGTCCTTTGCTTATTCCAATTTCAGATGTCAGAAGATATTTTGTATCGTTCTGGTTCATCCTCAGCCATATGTATTCGCTTAGCTTCTATGTATATCCAGCTATCAAAAGACATTGTAATTGTGCAAAAAAATGATCCTAAGCGATTAAGTTCTAAAGCTTTTATTATCTTTTCAAGCACACAATGCTCGATAATACCTTCTAATTATGCGGTGTTTAGGAGGCTCATCCCGAGTAAGTTGGCGCTTATGGCGAAGTGCATTTCCTACAGATTTTTTTCAGCAGAAAAATTGCTATTCGTACATCGTTTTAGTCGGGTGGTAAAACATCGATTCCGTCGTCCTTGTCTGGGGTTCGGGCTAGTTTTAGTGTTTTTACCATTCAAAAAGGCGAGAAAGTGTTAGCTCCATAATTTTAGTACTTATGTGCTGGATATTCGGTTTCGAGGCCCCTGA